TTATAATTCAACTAAAGCTGTATTTTTAAGAGAATAAGTTAAAAGATTTGATTTGACCATAAAAAATCCAGTACAGTACAGAAGACTCTGGCAAATCAGATACGTAATATGTCGACAAAAAATATAACACATTTCATTAGACAATAAAATAAGCAGCTGAGCAATACGTCCTTATTGTTCATATTGAAACAGTTTCAAAAATAAAACGGGATATTTAGAAGGCATTAAATTAGAAGTATATAAAATTGCTTAGTAGAAAAAAACATGCATATTGAAGATACCCGTAGGCTTATATTAAAATATTGTGTCAAATATGACTGTTAAAAGTCCTATAACTTTGAAATGATAGACCAGAAAATTTTCAAAATCAAAAGCGATCCTACATTCACCAATCCCAACAGTTTAAAGTATGTAGTAATCTGATCCAAGCATACTAGAGCTGTGCATGACATTTAAAAATGCCTTTATTTATCTGACGGTCAAAATCCTATAACTCTGGAATCGTTAATCACTATGTTGTTTATATTTGAACGGTGTGTTCTGTTCACCAATTTCAACAGTTTTTTCAAGTTTCCAGTAAATCATTACAAGCAAACTCAAGTTAAGGTACAACATGTGAAAAATTTACTCAAATCTGACAATAAAAGTCCTGTAACATCGAAATGACAAAACAGAAATTAAAAAGAGCCAAACGTCACCCAAATCTGAACTTGATCTGTATTTGGTGGTATTACACACTCTGAATAAGTTTCATAACATTTGGGTGAGGCAAACTAAAGTTACAGTGCAGAAACGGCAAATTTAGCAATTTTTCATTTATAAAGGGACATAACTCAAGAACTGTGAAAGTGACGCCACCCAAATTCAAACTTGATCTGTGGTTGGTAGTAATAAGCATTGTGTATAAGTTTCATAACATTTAGTTGAGGCAAAATAAAGTTAGATCGCGGAAACTGCAATTTTTGCCAATTTTTCCATTTATAAGGGACATAACTCGAGAATGGTGAAAGTGACGCCACCCAAATTCATTTTTGATCTGTGTTTTGTGGTAATAAGCATTGCATATAAGATTCATAACATTTGGTTGAGGCAAACTAAAGTTAGATAACAAACCTAATTTTGGGACGTACGTATGGATAGATGTATGGATAGAAATACCTACGGATGTATGAACGGTCGTACATATGGACGTACTTATGTATAGACATAGACGGACAAGGGTTAAACTTAATGCATCCTTTTCCAAAGCAGAGGCATAAAAATTGCCTTAATTTAAACCAAGTAAGTCCAGTAACTTTGAAATGACAAAGCCAAAATTTTCAAAATCAAAAGGGAGCTTCCATCAATCCTTATGTCATGTATGTCTTGTTCAGTTGACATGAGAATTGATTATTTTTGCATAATGTTAGAATGATTCTGAAGCAATGGGGAATAATTTAAAAAAAAAAAAATTTCAAAATTTTAATATTGTAGAATTACATTTATAGAATAATTTTGATGCTGCAATTTCACTACATATGCATATAATAAATTTTGTTATTTGAATTAAGTATTTCATTTGTCAATTTTTAAGAACTATGTTAAAAAAGTGAAAATGTTCTTGTAAAACATCAAGCAATCATGTTATTGGTAAAAAAGATTGGACAAGAAGTGAGTCCAAAATATTTGAATGAAAATTTAGAGAAAACATTGAAAAAGATATGACATTCGAATTCTGTGTATGAATTTAAACACATAACAATGTAATTGAAATACATAAACATATATATCAAACATAATCCACTTACCGAAACAAACAAAATGGTTTGCTGATGAGATGAGAATGTTTATGTTCAACAGACTGACAGTCTAACCTATATAAACCCTTGATTATAAATATGATAGTCAGTGCAAAATACCCCTTAAAGGCAAGAATAACAAATAAACACTTACAATATCTAGATCACCAAACTTCTGATCATCATCAAAGAAAGGCTTTGAAAACTATATCAACAATTTAATTCAAATAATTGACCTTTAAAGTTTACTTACAAAAATATTAACAAGGATTTACTTTATCAAAATAAAAATCCAATTATAGATTAGTTAATGCTCAATTGTAACCTTTACAGATTAATGTTTGGATGGATCAGAATATTCCCATTACTTTCACAAACCTTTAAATGTTGAAAAAGATAGTCAGAAAGTCATGTTTTCCTTACAATCATTAGACCCCTCTAACAAGAAATTTGTTTTGCATGCACACGTATAAAAATTGCGGTTTTTATCCAACGCAATCATAGGTTTGAACGTTGTTTTCAATTTAGACATCCTTACAATCATTCTATACACAAAATATTCTTGACCTACTGTTTGTACTATCTGAGGAACTGATGTCATCACAAAAACTTTACATTGACCAAGGAACCATGAACATGAGGTCAAGGTGAGATGAATCCTGTAAGATGAACATGTACACCTTCTAATCATTATAAACATCAAATATACTTCACCTACTGCTTATAATATTTGAGAAACTTTGACCAATGAACCATGAAAATGAAGTTGAGGTCAAATGAACCCTGTCACTTGGACATTTACACCTAAAATTCATCCTATAAACCAATTATAGATTACTAAAAGTATCTTAGAAACAGATGTAATCATGAAAATCTAACATTCATCACTGTCTAACCCATGACCATATGTCAAGGTCAGATGAACCCTGACGGGCATACTTTTTCTTATTGTTTTGGAGTTTTGTTTATATTGTTGAGGACTGTACGGTGCCCTGCAGTTGTTCACATCACTGTAGCTTTGTCTCTGGTGGATAATTGTTTCATTGGTAATCATACCATATCTCATTTTTTTCTTATATTTGTACCTTGCAATGAATCTATGTACGGAATAAAGTTGTCCCATTACTCATAATAACTGAAAAAATCATGCAATATAAAGATGTAGTTTTTTTAAGTGGTCGCTGAACTATGAAAAAATAGGTCAAGGACAGACCATAAGGCATCTGTATACCAGATATGGATTATCCTATTCTTGTACTTTAAATTTATGAATAATTGAAACTGAACTTAATCCAAAGCAATTAAATGTGAATTGGAAATTAAAGTGACTTCTTGAATGGGAACAGAAAGACTGCTCCTGATACACTGGGTTATCTACCATAATTTGCAAGGGGGATCTTAAACTCTGTCAAATTCCTTTCGCTTCTAATTTCAACTGTAAGAGATTATCCAACTAATGTACTTTAAAATATGAATAATTACAACTAAACTTAATCTAAAGCAATTAAAATTGAAATGCAGATTATAATGACCTCCTAAAATGGGACCAGAAAGACTTCTCCTGGTACACAGAGTTATCAACCATAATTCCTAAGTCAAGTTTATTTAGCTTCAACTGTAAGACATTTTGTGTGGCAAACTTCTTTACACTTAGAAATGGATAATTCAATATTTTGCTATAGAAATACCCTAAATTGAGTCTGATACAGAAAAAAAATAGAGGTGTACAATTACATGTGATCTAATATAATTCTGTCAAGAGACAATCTATTCAAATGTCAATTTCAGGAGATTTTAGCATGGTAAAAGCAAAGACATATATACATGTCTCTAGTAAAAGTAAGTCCGTCATGATACATCCAATTGCAACGTAATCCAAAGGAAATTTTGCACTGTCAAATTTCCTGATTTAAGGGAATGGCAAAAAATTTAATTTGTTGTACACAACTGTATTCATTCAAAAAAAGAAAGTAATTGATGGGGGTTGAGGTCTTCATTCATCAAACATATTTAGTCTAGAAGATAATATCATTTCCTAAAGTTAGGGTAGCAGTTGACTCTTCCCTTATGAATAGGTAAGCAGGGTAATATTTTTCATGTCGGTGCCTTTAATAGCTGACTACGATATGGGTTTTTCTCATTGTTGAAGGCCATATGGTTGCCTATAATTGCTTACATCAAATTCATTTGACTTTGGTGGATAGTTGTCTCATTGGCAATCATACCACATCTCCTTATTTTTATATTATTAAAAAACTTTTAAACTAGACTCATAAGCATTACTATAGACAATGGTAAAATGCTTTTGATTGATTGATTGATTGTTGTATCATAGCATCCAGTGGCAAATATGGCATGCTTCTTCTGGACCAAAATTGCTTTTGTTGGAAGGCCAAGATGCAAAAGTACACCTAGTTTTATTATTCCAAGACACTATGTATTGTGAAAGTTTCTGGTGGGAAAGTGTTATATTCCTTTGATGCATATCAAGACTATCTAGTTTGATTCCAGGAATGGGCTGCACAATGTCATTTAACATTAAATGATGTTTATATATAAAGTGTTCAATAAATCTGTTGTATTTATGAATGATTTAATTAACAATTCAAATTTAACAACATTTAACACTAATTGACATTAGTGCAACCTAATTCAGGTCCCTTTGAATTTGAAAACTTTAACTTTTGACTAAATATACATTATATATATATTTATATGAATATATGAAGGTCAAAAAGTAGGTCAGATCGACTTATTTTTGAAGGAAGACATTATATTTATCTTGATGCATAAATCCTTACACCAAATTACATCAGAACAAATCCCTCAGTATATAAGAACTAAATTTTTTACTGGCATTAATCCTGATGTAAAACTTCAATCTTCACCTTGTTAAACATCGTCAGATTATCTGAGATGTATCTACAGACAAAATTGTGTCAATGGTTGAAATTAAAGTGGACACTGAGACTCCAATAGTCTTTTGTGTTGAGGTGAATTAGATTATTTGATCAAGTACAAACTACTACACAATATTAGAAGTGAGACTCAATACCATCATCTAAATACTATTTGTAAATATGAGTACATTGCATGATTTTGGGTGTATGCCTTTTTATAACAATCCACACCTAAGAAATATTTGAAACATTAATCCACTGTATATAACTGTTTTATGTTTGCCCACAGGATAATCATTTGATGTCAGTAAAAAAACATTACCTTGTATTGTTCTCCAGGCTTGTGGTCTTCTTCAGCTTTCTTTTAAACAAAACCTGTAATAATGAAATAAAACATGTACTCGATTAAGTAAGTTATTAAGTTTATTTGTAGGAAAAAATATCATTCATTTATATATTCACTGTAATATCATTATGATCATACTATTTATTAAAATTTTACATTAAAAAGTTATACACTGATTCAAAACAATGAGCAACATTTATTTGTAAACTGATTACTGTATATATCAACAAATGGGTTATCATAAAAAAAAGTAAATTTACAATTTTAAATGTATCTGGAAAATTAGTTTTTAAGCTTACAGCTTCAGAAGTATAAAAGTGTACAAGTAATATGAAGTATAGCTACATAAATATAAAAATAAAAATATGTGGTATGATTGCCAATGTGAAAACTCTCTACCAAGACCAAATGACATACAAGTTAACAACTATATGTCACCGCACAGCTTTCAACAATGAGCAAAACCCGTACTGCATAGTCAGTTATAAGAGGCCCCGAAATGACAGATGTAAAACAATTCAAACGGGAAAACTAACGCCCTGATTTATGTAATAAACAATGAAAGAAAAACAAACAGGATATACAGCTTTGCTGCAATAAATGACAACCACTGAATTACAGGCTCCTGACTTGGGACAGGCACATACAGAATGTGGCAGGGTTAAACTAGTTTTAAGTTGCCAACCCTCCCCCTAACCTGGGACAGTGGTGTAATAACACAACACAAGAACAACTATGCAAAACAATAAACGAATAACAAATATGAGAAACAGCAAAAATGACAATCACTCAATTACAAGCTCCTGAGCAAAATGAATATAAATGCAAGAAGGTAAGGAGTAATTTTATATCAAAAAAATATACATTTAATATCACATGTGTGTAATAATGAAAAGAATTTAAATTATCATAAAGAGAGGAAATTTAGCATCCCTCTTCAGGAAGCTGGTCTTCTGGGGGAGACATCCAAATTCTTAAAAATATTGCAAGGCTCAGACTGATAACTGGAGTTGTCACCTATGAGTTATACAGTAGTACATATAAACTCATGGTCAAAGAACAGTAACTCTATCTAAAATTCTTATAATGCTGTTACAGTCCTTGCTTTCTCAATAAAAAAAAAATCTTTAATCCATTCAACATGAAAAAGTATACTATCACTTAGAATTTCTCCTTCTTCATTTACCTTATGAAGAAGATATGCGATATGGGTTTGACACAATGGCCTTACAGTGACCTATAGTTGCTAACTTCTTCATGATGATCATCTTCACTAGCCAAGGGTTACGATCCACTTCCCTCCTCTCCACCCTTGGCGGATTGAGATAGAATTTCGGAGACACAAGGTAATGATTTTCATTGGTTGCAGTCGAAACTCGCTGCATCCAATCAAAAAGCGCCTATAACATGATGGTGTAAATGTAGAAAGTGTATGTAAACAATTGCCACGTGCTTATTGTGCAACAAGTCTTTACATCCCTAAACATACGACTATATTTAGTGACAATTTGAATGTTTTTAATCAACTGATAGAAGTTCCTGTGTATGTTTCTTGCACAAATGCATGAATGTCTACGTATATTTTCGTTTCCTGCTTTACCAAGTGTGTAGAATCTAGACGCTACTGTGTTTTTACCTCCAAATTGAAGAGTTCAAGTGCTACCATTGGTCAAGAATAATGTATTCGGAATGGGTGTGACTTTAATCTATCGATAGATGGAGCAACATTGTTATCACAAATGTTGGCTTAATCTGCCAAGGGTGGAGAGGAGGGAAGTGGATCGTAGCCCTTGGCTAGCGAAGATGCATTATGATAAACAGAAACCCCTTTCACATGACTTTCATTTTAAAATTTATAAACCTTTAATAATAATTTTTTAATAAACTGTTGACACAGAGATATGTCTCATGTTTTGTAATTTCGATGGTATATTGCAAAGGTTGAAATTAAAATGGCAATATCTAAAATGTAAACTAATTACCTCCATGGAAATGTGAAATGCCAATGCTTATAAAATTGCATACCAAATACTATTGACTTATCATAAGTGGTTCCCTTTAAACTAACATAAACATAATCTTTAACTTGTAAACTATGTAAAAGTTTCAAAGTCAATGAACCATGAGGGATTGGGGCTGTATGAGACTTGCAAATGCCAATACAATTGCATTCAAAATATCATTGACCTAACATTAGTCGTTCATCTTAAATCTAATCACAAACTTTAACATGTAAATAAAACAAAACATTCATTCCTGTACCAGTCAGGAGCCTGTAATTCAGTGGTTGTCATTGGTTCATGTCTGTCCTATTTGGTTTTCGTAAATTGTTTTGTTATAAATTAGACAATAGTTTTCTTAATTGCATTGTTTCATATTTTTCGTGTCAGGGCCTTTTATAGCCGACTGTATGGGTTTTTCTCATTGTTAAAGGCTGTACAGTTGCTTATAATTGCTTATATCCACTTCATTTTAACTTTGGTGGATAGTTGTCTCATTAGCAATCATACCACAGCTCTTTATTTTTATAAAGTCAATGAAACCATTACTGAGGGGGAGCCAAACAGTCTCCATGGAAATGAGATGTGCCAATGTTAAAACATCTGCATGCCAAATATCATTGACCTACCACTAATAGTTCCCCTTAAACTGACCTTTTCACAAACTAACACATGTAAACTTAGCAAAAGTTTCAAAGTCAATAGACCATGACTGAGGGGACGTGGTCAAATAATCTCTATGGAAATGAAATGTGCCAAGGCTAATACAACTGCACACCAAATATCATGGTATTTTTCATTTACTTTGTGTAAAGAATTTCAGGAAACGTCTTCAAACTACATTTCTGACATCATATCTATCATTAATATGACGTTTATAACGTGATTCGTTTAAATGAGTAAGTTCACAAAAGGTTAAAATTGGCCCTAAGATTTTGATGGTTTACTTAATCATGCCAAAATACTCCAAATTTCAAATAGAAATAGTTGTGATATAAATATTAATACATAACAAATAAATTCTTTTTGGCACATCACATTAAAAATGATGAAGAAATGACCCAAGTATGCATTTTTTGTGTTCAGTTCTGGTCAAATTTTCAATAATTCTTAAGTTTTTAACATGATTTACTTTGCATGCTTTGGCCGCATCCCTGATCCAGAAAGTTTTTGTGTCTAAGGATTCTTTACTTTCAATAATTTTTCCAGCGTCAATTTCACCATTATTAGAAAAAGCGATATAAACATAATTTTTTTTTAAGATTATTGCTCCAAGATTGTCATAAACAGTGTTTTTAATACATTTATATTCTAGAATGCAACCTTTGAACACTGAAATACAGTTTTTTTTATTTCACATCTTTAAACTGAAGATAAGATACACATTGCTAATAATTTTATAAGCACTTTTGTTATATCTATGTCAAGTATATAATATAACTGAGTCTACGGATCTCCTGTAGTTGGTGATCGCAATACTGGTATACCAGTATTGTCCACAATACTGGTATAAAAATTTTGTACCAGTATTGTAACTTTTTTTTTTAAAACAGCAATACTGGTACATTACTGATATACCAGTATTGTAGTTGTATTGTTCACTATACTTTAAGGTGTATAATGAAAAATGAAATTTAAGCAAAATTAGATACATGTATTGAAGATCAAAGGGAGATTAAATGAACTCATAAAGATTATAGAAGATAATTGTGAAATCAATTAACAACCAGTTAAAAATAATTACTATACTTGCACAAATAAACAAAAGATTATTGTAATTAAATCATCTTATTCAAACAATTGTTAAAGTAATTATATAAATAATTGCTAATAATTTTTTCATATTTCTATATTTTATTTAATTCAATTTAGATAAAATAAAATAAAAGCTTTATTATCTGAGTTATTATTTGATAAATTCAAGCAAATTATTACACTATAACACTGTAAATTCAGCATTTACATATATGCCATTGTATATTTTTTACAGATATTTTAATACATGTATACTAAGATTCTAAGCATTTGTTTGTCTTTATTTTCTTATCAATCTTTCACAATAAACATGATAAAAGATATCAATATCCATTAAACATAAAAAGTTGCTTAATAGGGGAACCTGATTATAATCAAATTAACTACTTTTACTAGTTTGTCTACATGAATGTTAAGGGTAGTTAAAACAGTTGATTCAGAACCATGGGCAATACAATTTGTAGCAGATATATCTACTCAGGTACAAATACTCAAATACTAATACTAGACAAGCACTCCTACAGTAAGAGAGCCGTACAGGTGCTATCTAAACAAGCTTGTAATCTAGTAAGCGTAAGAGAAAGTCCACAGACTGAATACATAAATATCAATATAGGAAGTGGGGATTGCAGAAATGTCATCTGAAGAAGAAATAAACAATACCAATGCTGATGATACAGAAGCTATAACAGCATTAATGTCAATATAAAATTCACTAAAATATACTATTGAAACATGGAAAGAGAGAGCTGGAAGAAAACATAGAAGAAAGTAAAGAGTTTGTTAAAATGCTGTGACAGTACGGTTCCCTTAAGAAAAAAACATCAGAAGATTTAAAACTTTCTTTGATTACAATCACAGTGTACCATCAATGGCATCATCAGTTAAACATACAATCATTCCATAAAAAATTGTCATGTCATATGTTAATATCATTAATGACATTATGCATATATATGTGACACCTTTAATAAAAGATTAATTACGGTACCTATATGTATTGTTTATTTTAAAAAAACACAATACTGGTACAATACTGGAATACAATACTGGTACAAAATTTTTATACCAGTATTGTGGACAATACTAGTATACCAGTATTGCGATCACCAACTACAGGAGATCCGAGTCTACCCCCTAAGGCCATAATCTTGACGGCGAAATGACGATTTAAGTCGCCAAAGAATTTTGAAAATCGCTAAATCTCGCCAGCCGACTGACTTCATAGCGAAGTCAAATCGCTATCAAAATCGGTAAAAGGGAGACAACTTGTGATTGACAAGTCTCACAGGTAAAAAATGGCGGCTTACAAGGAAAATCCACTGGGAAATCATAGAGATTTTCGAAACGACCCAGAACTAATACTGTCAACGATCAATTAAATAAATACAACGGCGACTTTGAACATCCTCGGATATAACTTTCAAAACTGTTCTAACGGATAACTGACCGTATGTTTAAGTTATCATTTTACGATGATTTTCATCTGAGGATGTTGCGTAATCACTCAGCTGATTTGTTTTATTTTTATTACTTACACGAGTCGATCAATTTTACTATTCGGTAGGTTAAAGGTGGGAATTGACGGTAGATTTATTATATTCATTGAATAAAAATTGAAATATAAAAGGTAGAAAGACAGCTGATGGATAATGTGATTGCAAACGTACGACACTCGACCAGATTGTGATCAGCAGTGGATTTTTTCTCATGACCACTTTGGCACTTCGTTGATATGGATGATATTTTTAAAAAAATTATAGAAATTAGCTCTTTATCGGATAATTAATATGCGATTGAAAGATATATTCATTCATAGACTTACAATCTTTAACGATAATCTCAATTTACAACTAATACAATGTCCTGGACATTCAATAATGATTTACAAAATAATGACAAGTGGTGATATAAATTAAATTCCCAGTCATGTGAAATTCATCAGGTAAACTGGGAGTCATATTTTTCTGGAGTTTTAAAAATAAATTGAGGCAGATGCACATGAATTTAATGCATCAAAATCATGATAATATTACTAGGCTACTCCCTCGTGTCCCAATCAACAAATTTTATTTAGAACAGTTTAACACAATGGTATCAATAAATAAATAACAACTATAAATTGTCTAAACCTTTTGATTAAGAACTTTCTATATATACATGGTGTACAATAACATATGAAAAAACTGCAAGTATATCTTTTATTGAAGTTAAAACAATTTCCTTAGTGATAATCATGAAAACACGATGCAACCGAAACGGTAATGGAATCTCACTTCTCCCTTCTCTCTCATGGAAGGAGAAGTCACTTCTCCCTCTTCAAAATCCTAGATGAGGCCCTGCCCGGGCCCTTAAATACTAGAATATATTTATCCTTGTTACTTGATTAGCTTAGAAAGCCTTTTGATAATTGATAATTACCGAAAAGAATTATGTTCACCAAACAACAGCACCCCATAAAAAAAATAATAAAAGCAATGTATGTACAAATAAATGGAGAATGTGTCCCCATGGACACAGATGATGCCCCCGCTTGCATACAACATTATAAAGGGACATAACTCAAAAACAATAAAAGTGACACTACCCAAATTTGTACTTGATCTGTGTTTTGAGGTTATAAGTATTGTGTAAAGGTTTCATAATGTTTGGTTGGGGCAAACTTAAGTTACAGAACGGAAACTAAAAATTTTGCATTTTTTTCCATTTATAAAGGAGCATAACTCAAGAATGGTTAAAGTGACCCCACCAAAATTCAAACTTGATCTTTATTTTGTGGTAATAAGCATTGTGTATAAGTTTCAAAACATTTGGTTGAGGCAAACTTAAGTTAGAGAACAGAAACTAAAAATTTTGCAATTTTTCCATTTATAAAGGGACATAACTCTAGAACGGTTAAAGTGACGCTACCAAAATTCAAACTTGATCTAGATCTGTATTTTGTGATAATAAGCATTGTGTGTAAGTTTCATAACATTTGGTTGAGGCAAACTCAAGTTAGAGAACGAAAAAAAAAATTTTGGGACGTACGTACAGACGGACAAGGGTAAAACTTAATGCCCCCTCCGCTACGGCAGGGGCATAATAAAAATAAATAAAACCCAGAGCAGCTGATTCTTTGACATACTTCATGTTGTCAGGTATTATGTCTCAGATTAAATCTTCCATTCCAAACCTTGTTTAAATTTTGGTCATAGAATAGAGAATGGAAACAGGAATGTGTCAAAGAGACAACTACCAGACCAAATAGCAGAAAACAGCCCACGGCCACCTATGGGTCAACACAGCGAAAAAATACAGCACCAGGAGACCAACTTCAGCTGGCCCCTAAACAATAAGGTATACTTGTTCAGCAAAATGGATGCCACACTAAATATAAACAAACATTACTATCCATATTAATTTTGTCTTTTTCTTAATCAAGTTTATTATTGTTATTTTGTTGACTTCACTTAAAGCACAAAATTTAATGGAAATGTTTGAAATATGAATTTGAAGAACAGGAAAACGAGGGAACAGTATCCAAAAATGATTTCTATAATCTACATTTTTGTGTACATGCTAGCCTGAAGCAATCATCATCCACCACTTGAAGATATTCTAAATTTCTATGATGAAATACACTGGTAATTAGCATGCATATTATATTCATTAATTGTTGACTGATTAATTGTTGTTTGCTCAATGCCAGGGGCAAGTATTTCATGCAATATTAAAGACGAGAACTAATTAACAACTTCCATAGGTTTTACAAAGTAAATAACCGAGATATAGTGTGGACAATTATGATTGCCCCTGGGATAGCATGATATGTTGGATAGGAAAAGAAATCAGTTTGCTTGCTTGCATCAGGTCACCTACAAATTTCATGACCCTATTTGGAACGAACATAAATATTTTTAGATTATTGCTTCAATGATGAAACCAGCATGACCAGGATACAATCTATTGAAAATGTCATATCACAATACTTGTATGTAGTTTTACATATGTGAACCTTTACAAAAAATACTTCCAAACTTTATCGTGGCGTTTTGTATCTGGACTTTATTTTTGAGTCCTCCTAAAAAAAGCATGCATTGTGAATATTCATATTTCGCATAATCAAGTATAAAAATAACCATTTCTGCAATTAAATATTAGAAAAAGCAATTATTAATAAAATCTCTCTGAATAAAAGGCATATGGATCAAAACCATTACATATTACTTGAATGTAAGCCACATTTGCAAGAAAATGATGAAATATATAATTAGTAGACAAGTCAAATAAGTTAGTAAATAAGTTGTTATGATAATACTAACAAGCTTTTAATCCTGTATCATTTGTTGACATTAGTTTTAATTACAAAAAAAAATACATTTAATTCCATTTACTTCATTTCCACCAAAAACATACTTTTGGCGTCGTCTTTTGACGTCGTCAGTGCCTCTCTATATTGTGATGTTACCAAGGACCATTGACCTTCTAGACAATAAAAAAGTTTTGTGTGTAGAAGCCATAAATGCCCCTTTGGTAGTGTGAGGGTTAAAGTTAAGTTGGGATATGTGCGACTGATGACATTACCAATCAGTAAATTTTTTGTGGTATCAGGTTCCGTTCGCTCCCAAAACACTTTCGCACCCTACATGTTTGCACCCCACAGGTTCGCCTCCTGGGTCCGTTTGTACCCTATTTTTATTCAAATACTGGTTGATTTATTAGAAGTTTTTTTAGATGTATATATTTATAAAAATATTTATTTCATGAATAAAAAATCGTGAATTTTTATAATGAAATATTTTGTTTGTGAATATTATACAATGTATATGATTATTAATTATTAATTTATTCAAGATTACCATTAATTGGTAATTACAAAGTAATTTGGCATTATTGTTATGTGTTGGTGTAAAGTAAAATATAAGTAGCTAGCTTGGTAGGAGTAAAAACAATGAAGATTTTAAATTGAAAAAAATGAAAGATAATTATTTTACAGCTTGTGAGAGTTTGAAAGCCGTTTGGACTCTTTTACAAGTCTTGGAGACGAATGACTTAGTCTTTTATCATCATGACAATATTCATTATTCATTTCGTCAAATTCTAAATAATTCACAAAAGAAAACCTGTTTACGTTTTCAGAATTTCACTTTATTTTGTAACAATAAAAAAAATCTTATTTTATTTATTTTTTATAGCAATACACTAACTAAACATAAAGCATGATTAAAAACTTATTCAACTCAAAATCTTTATAAACGGGTGCGAATGGATCCAGGGTGCGAACGTGTGGACATGAAAGGGAACGAACGAGAATGGGAGTGAACCTGAAAGGGGACGAACAAGAATAGGAGTGAACGTGAAAGGGGATGAACAAGAATGGGAGTGAACGTGAATTTGGGCTAACAGACCCGATTCATTTTTTGTCCTGAATGAATGTTCACTTACATCATTTCACGAGTCTCCAGAGCTCAGGCACTTGTTTCTGAACAAAATTTCCTTTTTTACATTATGATATATAGGAATATTTTTTTTCAGAGATAAGTGCCTGTGCTCCAGAGGCTTAAATAATTTACCGTTGTGTTACTTGGCAATCTAAACGGACCCTTTTACCACGGGAATCGGAAATTCTATCAATAAAATGTATACTATATATCTCCTACGAGAAGCTCTATTGATAGTCGACTTTATTATTTACAGAATTTTATTGATAGAATTTCCGATTCCTGTGCTTTTACCTATAATTTGTGATATTGATATTGGGTAACACTGCACATTCTGTGGTTTTAGAGTTTATAGGTGTCCTCCTTGTATGTCAAACATAATTATCTTTGAAGTAAAAACAGTTCTTCTTTGTAACTTTAAAACAAAAGATAATTTCGGTTCTTCTCTGTTTGAAACTTTCAGGTGTCTAAATTGAGATCGTGTTCGGAAATGATAGATAATTTCCGGATATGGTCAGGTACACTAATATATTATTCTCCTAATCATTACAACAATACCAATCAAGTAAGAGATACAGACGATACAATATAATTATAATATATTAACACATACACCAAACAATAGTGGTCCAATAATAAGGGGTGAGAAGTCAGTCCCTAAGATGTGCAAAGAGGGATAACTCTATGTCTAAATTTTTAAATAAAACTTTATTTAGATTCGACTTTAAATATTAACTCTGATTTGGGACTATTATACTGGCAATATATTATGCCCAAGCTCTGATGAGCTTTTCAGCAAAAATAAAAACATCTATAGTTACAAATAAAGCAAAGCATGCGATATGCAAATAAATAATTATAAACTTTAGCATACACAAAGCTAACACTAAAAGCACATATAATCTGGGTATATAGTATACTCTTAGACATATAATACATTGAACTATATGTCTCTGTTATACTATATCATGTTCCAGATATAACGCACTAAGACAGTCTATAAACAAAGATGATATAAAAATTTGCAACTAAATCTATACAATAAAAATCTGTATTTTTTTGTCATCACGAAAAAGTAAAATGAATATTATATAATCAAGGACGTATAACTAACGTCTAATATACGTCCTCTGGAAAGCTTTACTGGTCATTACATAGAAATCTATACAGTACACTGCATGAAAAATAAGAAATAGAACGAAAATAGAGGCCGCAAGCATACACAAAAATCTAATTATCTAAATGTTTTTGGACCTCCAGAGTCGGTGTGCATGATCATGCGGGAAGCACCTTTCTGTGCACCGACTGTGAGGTTACCAGTTATATAACCGCATGATGAAACCAAAAGATTTAAAACCCAATCACGGTAAGTTAATTAGGAAACATAAAAATGCATGAACCCGCAAATTACCCGCAAGATGGACAAACAACAGTCAGAACCACTCCATGACTGAACAAGACTTCTAAAATACTTGAAGCTGTCAGTCTTAACGTTTTCTGGTGAACTATTCCACAGAGAAATAGCAGCAAAACGAAAGGATGTTTTCCATGTGTGGGAGTTTGAATCCTCTGTTATTTCAACTTCAAGTATATTTTGAATGGGTTGAGATCTCAAAAAACATGTTTAACCCCGCCGCATTTTTGCGCCTGTCCCAAGTCAGGAGCCTCTGGCCTTTGTTAGTCTTGTATCATTTTTAATTTTAATTTCTTGTGTATAATTTGGAGTTTAGTATGACGTCCATTATCACTGAACTAGTATACTTATTTGTTTAGGGGCCAGCTGAAGGACGCCTCCGGGTGCGGGAGTTTCTCGCTGCATTGAAGACCCATTGGTGGCCTTCGGCTGTTGTCTGCTCTATGGTCGGGTTGTTGTCTCTTTGACACATTCCCCATTTCCATTCTCAATTTTATTGATTTGAAACAAAGGAGCTGGAACTTTCTCAAGAAGAGTTTCAGGGGATGATATTTAGTCCTTGTAGACGAATCGTATTGCTTTTTCTGTACAAAATGCCCAATTCAAAGGGCAAACATAAAAAATACTCAGAATGGAAAAATTCAAGTTTCTTTAATCTGGTTAAATAGGATCATAATATATATGACAAGAGGTAGAAATTTAGATTAGATATAAGACACAGTTGCTGATTAAATCATAGTATCTGAATATTCTGAATCAGCCAGTAGTATTTTCTAAATTTATGTGTGATTAAACCAGTCGTTAACGCATCAGACATATGTCAAAATTATCTTAACTCCCAATCTAATTAAAATACAGTTCTCCGGTTTCATTATACTCATATGAGCATATATACGAGCACGCGAGTTAATACGGATCAGAATTTGAATCAAGTTGCTTAACTCCCTGAAGTAGACTATAAGCTATAAATCTACGTTTGTAACAAAAAATATTTTACAGGGTGTACTGGATGGTTGTCTTAGCTACTGACCACTACCCCACAATGATGAGATTTGTAAACGCAATACGATAGAACAGAGGGTATGTTACTGCCGAGAAATGGAAAGTTTAAATCATCACATTTGTCACAAATTCTAGTTTGGAGTCGTCCGTCCATGTCAATATCGAGGAAACGATCAAGCTATGAAGCAGACCTCCTACTTTCGGTGGTATCCCTAATCTCAAGTTCACTGGGATATATAAGATGTAAAAGATGTAAGCCCTAACTGAAATGTGGATTATTGAGTAACAGAACATCATCAATCAATCTGTTAGTGACCTAGAAGAACTTTGAAAGATGCTTGTTCTTTTTGCCTTTGAGGAATTTCTGTATGAATTCTGTTTCATATACATAAACAAGTCGGCCAGTAGTAGCACACAATAAGTACCCATTGGAATGACGTGCGTATGCTGAAATATAAAAAGAACTCTACAAATATGTTTTCAAAAAGTCCAGCACTTTGACAATATCATCTTTTTGTCATGATTAGTTGTGAGAATCAGTTTGGTTCTTCACAAAGTAAGATTTTTCGTGACCTAAAACAAGGAATTTGTATCTACATTTCCCTTTTAAATCTCTGTTTAATGAGACGGTGTAATAGATCTTTCAATTTTGAGCATGAGGGATCGTAGTGTAAAGCGTAGAAAACCCAGATTTTAATATTACTGCAAAATTGTAAAATTATAAAGATTGTGATTGAAGATTTTGAATTACATCTCTAGAATTTGTAAGAATCTTGAATATACCTCATCACATTATGTCTGAAGGCCATCTGTTACTGTAAAAATAACGATTGTAAGAATTTTAGAATAATGTTTACTTAGTCGAATATCTTCATGATCCGACTATATATCGTTCTTTATACGGACTTTTGTGAAGTTTAGATATCCAGTATCAAAATGGGAGATTGTCATCGTCCTTTCTGATGTTGATTGATACCAATGAACAGAAGGACGAATTTGTGATTTTCTAAAATCTCTTCTTTCGTAAATTATGTAGGGGTATATGTGGGATTCACGGTTTTCTGTGAATACCAAGATCTTTAGTAAGACATTTCAAATAATGATTTTTGAATAATAAACAATTTCGTGTGAGGCTTTATAAAATAAGGGGATGAAACAATGAAACAATTATCCAACAGAGTCAAGGAACACTTTAACTCGAACTACACAATAACTCTTTCAAACATGTAACAACAGCAAATATTTGGGGATAACCATCAGCTCAAACCTTAAATGGAATGTGCACATTAACAAGTCACTTTGTAGAAAAATTATATGTATGCTATCTGTCGAATACCTTGGTGAATGCTAATAATATTTGAAGTTCAAAATTTGCAAATAGTCCTGTCAATTATCGGTTCCAAAAAATTCGTGATTTTGCAATACTGGTTTAATTGTTAAGGACAAATTGGGCAGAAAGCTAATACCACCTAGGCTTTCAAATGAGGAACCTGAATATTAGCTCAACATCCATTAAAGAGCAGACATACTAGTCCCTAGTAAGACCATCACTAGAGTATGCTTGCTCTGCTTGGGACCCTCAGGGACGGATCCAGCCATTTTTAAAAGGGGGTCCCAACCCAGAATAAAGGGGGGTTCCAACCATATGTTCCCATTCAAAAGCATTGGTCGTAAAAAAAATGGTGTTCCAACCGCCGGAACCCCCCCCCCCCCCCTTCAACCCACCCTGGATCCGCCACTGACCCTTACTTACAACGAGACATAGATAGCATTTAAAAAGTTCAAAGAAGGGCTGCCCGTTTTGTAACCAACAAATACAGAAACATCTCAAGCGTGGGTAACATGTTACAACACCTTGAATGGCGCAGCCTCTCTGACAGAAGAAAATGTGCACGATTGTACTGCTATATATATAAAATAGAACACAAAAAGGTTGTAATACAAAATATGATAAATTTATTCCACAAAAGAGACAAACAAGACATTCAAATTCGAACAGTTTCCTAATTCCATCCTGCAAAACACAGTAAAGAAAAGAATATTTTCCCGAGAACAATAACCCACTGGAACAAACTTCCTGATAACCTCATAAATTGCACATCAGTAGACTCTTTCAAATCTTCAATCTCAAAACATCAATATTAAAATCAACTATTCACATCAAACTAATTGTACTTTTGTAATTTTTATTTTTCCGCTATTTTTGCGCTTCTGTATGCATGACTGAACAGCTTTGATTCATTCAGATTAAGTGTCTAGATTTGGTTCATCTGGCTTGCACTTTACCTATATTCTGGCGTAGTCCCCAACTGTATCGATCAGTAGCCTTAAAGACTTATTCTTTTAGTTGATATGCTGAGTAATTCGATATTCCGGGCCTTTCGCTAACAAATTTCTAAGTTGTTCATTGTTTACGATGACAATGTCTCCAGTTATTACATGGACAACCAATGTATGAGTACGATGCACAAGAGGGAGGTTTGAATTTTACATCAGTGTGGGTAAAGGTCTCTGATACCCTCTTATGTTTGAAAATCTTGGATGCAATATATGTTATAGGTTTGGTGTAGGTATATATGAATTGACAGGTGTAGTTTATCTATGAAGTAATCGGGTATTGTTTTCTGCCAAACAAAAAAATGGTGGAAATATTGCTAACATTCTTGGCAAAACCTTATAAGCCTATTCTACTTGAAAAAATCTCCGTTTTTCATTGGCATCTTTAGAAGTAGTAGTCACAGCTTCATAATTTGCATCAATAACGGAAGTGTTTAGAGAGTGGGTCCGGTCGTAACTCTTCAAGTGAACTTGAATGCCTGTAAAGTCAGAAGACAATTACTTGCTATTAGTTCTGTGGTTTTTTTTTCTTGACAATTTCGACTTTTTATGGAATCTTTTTTCTTCTCAGGATAAAGACTATGATAGCAATAAAACTTTAAATTTCCTTGGATGCGTTTCAATTTTGTACAATGCACATATAGTTAACCCTTCTATATTAGTATCTTCATAAAGTCACGGATGGCATTCGGTATATCGATAAAAATTATCGTGAAAGAATAAGTAACGGTATAAGATCTGGTATCGGATCGTCTGAAATACGATTAGATACAATTCAACTTCAAAATCTGTGAAACGATATATTGTAATAACAAAAGATGGAGACAATCAGATGAAAGATGAAAAAAATCATATGCCACATTGATTTATAAAATTATAAGATCCGTCAAATATTCATCAGTTTAAACATATTTTATTGTTCAAAATTACAAATGGATCAGACATAAGTTTTACAAAGTAGTAACGTCTTTTTCCAAAATATTCATTGTATCAGAAGTCCATCAATAGACGTCTAGTAATGGACTTCTGATTGTATACAGACAAATCTCCCGATTATTTTCTGTGGAAGCATTCTGTGCAATTCAGCTATTTTAGTCCTTGATTCTTTCTAGCGATAGATGACACATCATATGTGCGACCGATCGATAATATAAGACATGTCAGTTATTGCAGTAATGTATGGTTCGAGCTTTACCTAGACATTCAAATTTTGTTGAAAGAGATTTTAAAAGTTAGTAAGTAAGTAAGTAAGTAGTCGGTCGGTCGGTCGGTCGGTCGGTCGGTCAGTATCACAGTTTAACTAATACTGCTAAGTTGACAGTTGTTTTATTTACTCTTATTAAAGTTTATGCAAGTATATGATAAGGCAAAGTTTATTGGCCCCTTGAATTCGGAATTTTTTGTGTAAATATGTTAAAAGCATCTTTCAGATGTTTAAAACTTATTGCATTTAGTGCAAAACTGCAAAAACTGTCATATAAGCCTCATGTTGGGATCTTGACGTTAAGTGCCAGTCTTTGTACGAATCAGGCAATTTTGAAAAAAATCAAAACATGTCCGAAAAAAACCCACCGACCTAACCATCCTATTTTGAAGTTACCCTCATCCTGATTTAGAAATGGTAGGACTTTTGTTTCTGCGTGTCTGGTAATTCGATAAATCTCTAGATAAATTTTGGTTAGAATGATAGCAAATTACGGAGTTCGCTCCCCTTAATTTTTCATTTCTAGTGCATTTCAACCAAATTATATCTTGAATTACCAGAACAGGACAAGGAAACAAATGTTATATTCATGCACCATTATACATTTTGAACAAAAATTAATGTCAACCTGAGTGGGTTTTTGTTTGTCATGTTTTCACCACTGCCTGATTCTTAGGCAGATTGGCACTTAAAAATAGTTGGATATGAGCCAAGGCTTCAAGTGAACCCAAAAATCTATTTTGTATTTTAAAGATGTTAATACGCAATACGTAAAATATCGTATTTTCTGATACAAAATATATCTTTTGGGTCTTTTTCGGTAGCAGATTCACAGCCTCAGTTTAAACAATATAGCAAATGTTTATATTCTGGACAATGTTTCGCAACATAATCATTTATTGCAAACTTATCTTTTATAAGTTTTTTACCCGATTTGCTAAAAATCACAACTTTGGTTTTGTCAAAATCTACTGTCAATTAGTCCCAACAACTACAATTCAAACTAAGCCAGTATATAGGCATATTTGTGAGGCATTGGCTGTTTAAGAAACAAGACTGACTAAATCATCGGCATATAATAGACAAGATATATCATTCTAATTTGAATGTGTTGTAAAAAATTGGGGGTAAATCATTAAAATATAAAGCAAATAATGCAGGTCATGAGATACGTCCCTGATTCATCCCAACTGTTGAATAAAAAAAAAAAGCCAATGACAAGTCCAGAGATCTTCATCAAGTACCAAATTTCTTTATACATATATATCATTTCAAGAAATAGGGACCGTTTATGTTGTTATTCGCCAGATTTTTTTTTTTAAATAGGGTCTCTCTATAAATAGTATCAAACGCCTACCATAAATAAACACACAGTCATATTTCCTCTTGATGACGAACACGCTTTATCAACTGTCGTTTTAACTTCACTTTCTGAATCCAATTTGCTCACGAAAAATACCGTGCAATTTATTTTCAGATTTTTGTTTTTAATCTGTAATGTAGGACTCGTAGAAAAATATCTTATGCAAGTAGAAAGGGTTATACCTCAATAATAAGATAGACCGCCGTTTATGGTGGGTTTGATCATGAAATTTTCTCTCAATAAGGTGGGATAAATACCAGACGTAAGAACAAATAGATAATTTCCAATCTTAAGTCTGTTTGTTCTCAATTCTGGTATTTATTAAATAATTTTACATAAACATAAACATTCGCACAATGCATTTTCAACATTTCATTTGTAATACAATCTGAACCACTTTCTTCGTTATATGCTACACAACCCCCCTCATCGCCTGTCAGTATAGTGTTGTTTAAATTCTTAGTGCTACATTCTTTAAATGCAATTTTAAGTCTACGTTCTTATCATAATAAATATTCATCAGTGTATTTAGCTATTCAATCCCGCGTTCTTTAAGTTGAATGTTTGAGCTAGGATCCTTAAATTTCTCCTTCATTATCTTTTTAAGTTGAATGGAAAAGTCATTCGTCATGGGGGGAAAATCACAGGCACTTTATCTGAAAAAATACTTTAAAGTATGTAGATTATTTTTTTTCAGAGACAAGTGCCTGTGGAAAAATGTATTCTGCACCAACAAACGAGGGGTGGATGGGGGTCCTTCATCTCTGTATCCTTTATTTTTAGACCATCAAAGTTTTCTCTATTCCATTATAAAGTTTGTCCATTAATCTCCATTCTTTATATTTTACTCCGTTATTCTCTATTCTTTTTTTTTTCCTTTATTCTGCACGTTTTACCAAGGATTTGTATAGTAAGACTTACTATATATACAAATCCTTGGTTTTACTCATTATTCTCTCTTCTATAAACCCCATCCATACCCTCAGAAACATTGGTGTTCACAGTATGACAGTATTTTGATAATTGGACATGACTCATTAGTAATAAATATGGTACAATATTTTGCATTGGAGAGAAATTTTCTCAATTTATTTTCTTTTCGGAACTGAGCCAATCAAATCCTTCTTTCTATTTCAGTTTTGACGGGCACCTGTAAGAAATAGTTCTTCGTAAATAAATCCGCATTTTATATGACAGTTATGCAGTTGAATAAATAGAAGTAATACAAACTTTGAAAAATATTATATTTTACATGACTATGTAAAATAAAGATCGTAAGTCGTCTTCACTGAAATACATGGCACATTTAATCATGCCCTAACTCCGCGGATTAATAATATTGTCGAACGAAATTCGCCGGCTCATCATGTCAATGGATCATCGATCGGAACTATCCAATCTTCCGGAAGTAATCTAGTAGAATATGATATTTTAACAAGAATGTGATCAAGATGAAAGAATGAATAGTATACTTATGTCATATTGCTTGATGATTTTCTAAAATGGGAAACTGCTTGTGTCCGGACAATTCAAACCTTAACAATTCATCATCCCCAGCCACTGGAGCAGTTCAGCTAAAAAAGCCCGAGCCGAATGGAGCTGTTGTATCTCCAAATCAGATAACAATAACAACAAACCCACAGCCTGATAGTCCTGCTGTTTCAGTTGTTTCTTCGCAGCCAGCAGAGCCATCAGCTAGTGACGCCTCCACTAGTAATGTCAAAATATTTATTTCACTTTACGATTATGATGCTAGGACAGCAGAGGACTTAAGCTTCATAAAAGGCGAGCATCTAGAAATTCTAAATGACACACAAGGAGATTGGTGGTATGCCAAATCAAGATTGTCAAAAAAGGAAGGATATATACCATCAAATTATGTAGCTAAGTTGAAAAGCTTGGAGTCTGAACCGTAAGTAAATGTACAATCAATAAGTACATGTAATTTCATTAATAAATGAGGGGGATTGCTATACACTTTAACCCTATTTGGATGCCATTTCTGGACATAACAGATGTTCTTGTAAAATTTTTACTTGACAAGAGGAAATGCCTTGATGCCTAAAAGCAAGAGTGAATGTTGTTAGACATCAATAGTTTTTAAAGTGTCACAGATTCCCAAATATATATATATAGGGATAAGTACATTATTTTGTACGTATCATACAGATATATATATATAAAGAGCTTTGGCATTTGATTGATTGATAGGTGTTTAATGACACTTTCAGCACTATTGTGCTATTTCGTGATGGTCAGTTTTTTTATTGGTAGAGGAAGCTGGAGAGAACCTAACTACGGTAGGAAAACTGACAGTCCTATTTGATTAAGATTGGAGTCTAGTGTGCCTGCCAGGTGCAGGGTTTGAACTCACAACCTCAGTGTTGACTGGCTAGTGATACAGTAGTTCTACTACTTAGACCACTTGGGCACAGAGGCCCCTCTTTGGCACATGAATAGAAATATGACCCATTTATTAGTGATGCACATGAGGTTTGCAGTGTTCTACCCAGATATTTCATTTAGCATCCTGGTAAACAGGGGAAATTAAAATACCATCTTGTTTCTAAAAATTGTAGCATCACATCCATTACATAATCTATAAGAAAACCACTTCAGATAGCATCACATTTAAGATTATAGCATCACATTACCATGATGCTAAAAGGCCCTGGGGAGAACACTGGTTTGGGGTTCTACTTTTATTTGTGAGAAATGGCTGAAATGTATATATACATGTAACTACTCTATAGGTTATTCAGTGATCTCCTCAGGCCATTTTATCGTCGTGGCACCGAGACGCTATAATTTTTCTGCGACGCTATAATATTACGAGGATGCTATATTTTCTTGTCGCTATACATTGCAGCAAAATCGATGTCCTAATTTTTGAACTTTCGTCTAATTACCGCTTGTGATCATAAAAATTATATCACCTTTAATTGTAATCCTTTCAAGTCAGACAATAGAGGCAATTAAGAGTGATTAAATGGGTGTTAATTGCCCTTTGGGTGATAACTGTTTAGATACCAATACCCCAAGCTGACACTTATGACATGACTAATAACACGTGGTCCAATCGCAAATTTTGACATCTTGAAAATGAAATAAAAAATTCATAAACAATTCAAAATCTACGTTTGCATCATGGCATAACCGTCTCCTAAGAGAAGAAAAACTACACGGGGTACCTCGATGTTGACAAAATGGCTGACCAAACCAAGTTTTACAAATACGCATTTTTTTCATGTCGATTAAATAGCAATTTTTCATTTATAAGTAAAGAAATTAAACTTTTAAGCACCGCTTTTGTGCTATTTCGTGGCGGCCAGTTTTTATTGGTGGAAGAAGCCGGAATGCCCGGAGAAAACCACAGACCTTCGATAGGAAAACTGACAATCCTAGTCAATTAAGATTGGAGTCGAGTGCACCCGCACGAGCGGGGTTCGAACTCACAACCTCAGTGTTGACTGGCTAGTGATTACAGTAGTAACTACTTAGACCACTCGGCTAGCAAGGCCCCCGAATTTCAAAGATGAAAACGATTTTTTCAAACTAACAACTTAAAAAGAAGTATTTTCTTTCCCTTCCGGTACTTGTTACTCGAGAGCGTACAATGTACATTAAACATTCTGATTTTCTGCAAAATAAGTTTGATACTTCAATTGAACATGATGAAAATTGCCTTTAGTAAATGTTTCATCCATTTATTGCATTAAAAGCGTCATATTCATTCCAAATCGCTTGTCAAATATTGTTTATTTTCGTTAATTTTTCTACGATTGCCATTATAATATTTGTTCAAACTACGGATCGGATGCGGGATTTTATCGTAAGCGCACCAGCTATGACCAAAATCCACATTTTTAGGATAATAACTACAGAAGTGGATTTTGGTCATAGCTGGTGCGCTTACGATAAAATCCCGCATGGCACAGCTGACAGAATAATAATAATCCAAAAAAGGAAAACTACGCATTCCACACTCATTAACAGACCTCCTTGCTAAATGTATTTATTTCTATGTAAATGCATTGTTTCAATTTACTGATTAAAGTAGCTTAACATTGTTAAAAATAAATATCTTTTTGATGAGAAACAACTGGGACTAATACATTGAGTCCCAGGAAACAATGAATTTCATAAACATGAAGTCATGATAAACAGAATAGTTTTTTAATTGAAATTTTATTAATATATGATACTTTCCTTTCCTTTTTGATATAAAAAAAAGTTCTTTTTTGTACTAAATATTTAGTTGTAGTTTCTGACACGAGGAAAAATGTAATTCTGTAAGAGGAAAAATACAATTCTGTAACAATATAATTCTGTAAGAGGAAAAATATAATTCTGTAACTATAAATGAATATTGAAGACATAAACTGAAACAAATGTTCTACTTTAATTGTATTCTCAGTTATGAATTGAACAATATAAACATTACTTAAAGGAAATACACATCATCACATGTAGAGCATTTTACCTAACTCTTAGCTGACAAGTCTGCTCTTACCCCCTGAATGTTGTGTGCTTAGGAGAGAAGCAGCAATTTGACCAGAGCAGAGATTCAAACCATTGAATTCCGTTCCTGCATTCTAGGCAAACATGAGACAATTAGGCAGATAAAACATCAAAGAACATCAAAGAAGGGTACAATGTACATTTATTCAGAAAGATAAATGTACATTGTACCCTTCTTTGAATGTTTTAACTGCCTAAATTATTCATCAAACATTTAAACATTAAATCAAATAATTTGGCTGATTCTACAAACTTCTGCAAAGCAGGGTTACATATATATGTTTTTTTTGTTTTTGTTTTTCTTCTTCCCTGTTTGGCAAATTGCGGACCATATGGTCCGCAAATTGTCAAAAAATATCATATGGACCTATGAGTTACATCCACAATCACAGGTACATTGTGTAAGCCAGGGGATAAGTGGTAGAATAAGTTCACTTAACATAATCTGGCCTTCGGCTGTTGTCTACTCTTTGGTCGGGTTGTTGTCTCTTTGACATATTCCCCATTTCCATTCTCAATTTTATTGACATAAAATTATATGTTTATGATCATCGCCCCTTTATCCTAACTTATCTTTATACATGCAGACAATCTTTGAGTTTATATCATCATTTGCACTTTAATGAAGCTTACACCTAGAGGTGAAATCTGCTGAACCACATGAACCATGTGCACAGGAATAATCAGTGCCTATTAGGACTTCATGAGTTTATCAATTTTTCAACCCTCATCCTTCAAACTTTATACATGATATACATGTATATGCAAAACAATTGTACTGTTACTCTTGAAATGTCATAAAGAAATTGCTTGCTTTATTTTCATTCAGATGGTATTTTGGTAAAATCAAACGAGTGGAAGCAGAAAAGAAACTCCTTTTACCAGAAAATGAACATGGAGCATTTTTAATTAGAGACAGCGAAAGTAGAAGAAATGACTATTCACTTTCAGGTAAGTTATACTCATCATACATGAATGTACAATGTACCTCATGTTGTATACATTTTTATACGACCGCAAAAAAAATTTTGTGGTCGTATATTGGTATGACGTTGTCGTCGTCCGAAGACACATTAGTTTTCGCACTCTAACTTTAGTTTAAGTCAATGGATCTCAATGAAATTTTACCATAAGGTTCAATACCACAAAAGGAAGGTGGGGATTGATTTTGGGGGTTATGGTACTAACAGTTAAGGAATTAGGGGCCAAAAAGGGGCCAAAAATAAGCATTTTTGTAACTTCCAGACATAACTTGTGTGTAAGTATATGGATCTCTCTGACATTGTACCACAAGGTTCCATATCACAAAGGGAATGCTGGGATTGATTTTGGGGGTAATTGCCTCCAAATTTTAGGAATTAGGGGCCAAAAAGGGGCAAAAAACAAGCATTTTTCTAGTTTCATGACAATAACTTGTGTGTAAGTGTATGGATCTCTCTGACATTGTATCACAAGGTTCCATATCACAAAGGGAATACTGGGATTGATTTTTGGGGGGTAATTTCCTCCAAATTTTGGGAATTAGGGGCCAAAAAGGGGCAAAAAACAAGCATTTTTCTAGTTTCATGACAATAACTTGTTTGTAAGTGTATGGATCTTTATGAAATTGTACTACAAGGTTCCATATCACAAAGGGAAAGCTGGAATTGAGTTTGGGGGTAATTTCCCAAAAAGTTTAGGAATAAGGGGCCAAAAAGGGGCAAAAAATAAGCATTTTTCTAGTTTCCAGACAATAACTTGTGTTCAAGTGTATGGATCTCTCTGAAATTGTACTGCAAGATACCATACCACAAAGGGAAGGCTGGGATTAATTTTGGGGGTAATTCCCTCAAAATTTTAGTAATTAGGGGCTATAAAAGGGCAAAAAAACAAGCATTTTTCTAGTTTCAGGACAATAACTTGTGTGTAAGTGTATGGATCTTTATGAAATTGTACTGCAAGGTTCCATATCACAAAGGGAAAGCTGGGTTAGAGTTTGGGGGTAATTGCCCAAAAAGTTTAGAAATTTGGGGCCAAAAAGGGGCCAAAAATAAGCATTTTTCTAGTTTCCAGACAATAACTTGTGTTCAAGTGTATGGATCTCTCTGAAATTGTACTGCATGGTACCATACCACAAAGGGAAGGCTGGAATTGATTTCGGGGGTAATTCTCTCAAAATTTTAGTATTTAGGGGCCATAAAAGGGCAAAAAAACAAGCATTTTTCTAGTTTCAGGACAATAACTTATGTGTAAGTGTATGGATCTTTATGAAATTGTACTGCAAGGTTCCATACCACAAAGGGAATACTGGGATTGAGTTTGGGGGTAATTGCCCTAAACGTTTAGGAATTTGGGGCCAAAAAGGGGCCAAAAAAATAAGCATTTTTCTAGTTTCATGACAATAACTTGTGTTCAAGTGTATGGATCTTTATGAAATTGTACTACAAGGTTCCATACCACAAAGGGAAAGCTGGAATTTATTTTGGGGATAATTCCCTCAAAATTTTAGTAATTAGGGGCCATAAAAGGGCAAAAAAACAAGCATTTTTCTAGTTTCCAGACAATAACTTGTGTTCAAGTGTATGGATCTCTCTGAAATTGTACTGCAAGGTACCATACCACAAAGGGAAAGCTGGGACTGAGTTTGGGGGTGATAAATCATAAGGGGGTTCAAAAAATTTGGGGGAGGGGGGGTTTCCTTTTATTTTCTTTAAAATTTTCCATTTTAAATTGGTTATTTCTGATTTATATATAAAAGCAAATAATAATGATATGGTTTGAATAGGTAAATTAAAATTTTTTAAGTTCTTAGACCATTTTCATTCTGTGTCAGAAACCTATGCTGTGTCAAATATTTAATAACAATCCAAATTCAGTGCTGTATCAAGCTTGAATGTTGTGTCCATACTTGCCCCAACTGTTCAGGGTTCGACCTCTGCGGTCGTATCAAGCTGCGCCCCAGCGGAGCATTTTATTTTACTAGGCAGGGCCTATGGAAATGTTGATATCTGTCCTTGTGACATTGTAAACATTCTCACATCTACAGTTCTCATCAGATTTCAAAAATTATTCTGTAAAATGTTTGCTTCAGCAAGATCTCTTCACTTGCTATATATGTACAAAAAAAATGTGTATGTCCATGTCTAATCATTTTCCTTAACAAATTTACTGCTATACATTGTCATTGTGTAACTAAGTGTTTGTCATTATAGTGATATAATACCAACATATTACAGTAGACTCTCAAATAGGATACTCAAAATGTAGGGAAAAATATATCATTTCCTGATATACACAATGTATTCCATTAGACGATAAACATGTATAAGTTCCTGAATTTGGCTGAAAGATTGTAGGTTTGAGCATGTGTTTAGGTTAAACATCCAGAAATCCATCCTTATATGTACATGTACGTATGGGCAGGACTTCAGGGAAATGGAATATACATGTAATTTATGTGTACTTAATATTTTTGGTTGTAAACAGTGGCAGTATTAAGGGGGGGCAGGGTTTATGGAGCTTCAGATATGATTAATGCATAGGCTTTTTATAAGTATCACGCCAAACATTGGCTTGATAGTGGTCTTCCCCTTTTTCAAAATCCTCGATCAGTACCTGGTAAATGAAATACAATTCAAAGTTATATGTGCATGTTTACTTTGTATTGCAGTGAGAGATGGAGATACAGTAAAGCATTACAGAATTAGACAACTTGATGAGGGAGGAATTTTCATTGCTAGACGAGTGACATTCAGAACATTATCAGAATTAGTAGACCATTATTCCGAGGAGGCTGATGGACTGTGTGTTAACCTTAGAAAACCATGTACTCAGGTAAGTTTATAATAGTTGTTGCTGTTTGTGCTTGTGGTCATATTTTGTAAATTCGTAAATGGGAAAAATTTCATGTTCTTCCATGTGCGGAACAATATTAATATGAATATATATTTTTTAAATGTATCAACTATTTCAGGTACATGTATGTGTACTTTTTTGGATTAACACTGTTTGTCTTATTTTTTGATGAAGGTTATTATTTACTGTTACATGTATCATGAAAATTTTATGTCTTTTTTTGGGGGGGGGGGGGGGGGGGTAGGATTATTCAAAATTTTGCACACAACTTTACTTTTGGCATTGCACAAAATCTTGTCTTCTTGCAATGTTCATGAGGATGCTGTATAAAATCAATTTGAAAGTACAGTGGCAGATATTATTTTATAACTCATAAGCTGCCCTTAATCTGGAACCTCTTTGGTGTTTGTATAAAATTCAAATGTATATCTTAGTGTGTTTGATCTTTTTTAGTGAATTTTGTGTTTATCTCAGATCTCTGGTAGCTTCTGTGATATTTATTCTTTACAAGTTTAGACTCAGTTTGATCTAGACATGGTATGGTGGCTTGTCTTTTGTTGAAGACTGTGTACATGTATGTTGACCTGTAAATGCCTTATGAGTTTTTTCTCTTGTGTTTTGTGTTGCTGTAGACTGTGTACATGTATGTTGACCTGTAAATGCCTTATGAGTTTTGTCTCTGTGTTTTGTGTTGCTGTCTCATTGATGTATATACCAATTTACCCAAATCTTAAATAGTTGTTTCACAAAAGAGTGATGGTTTTGCTTATTATATGTAAACTTGTCAGTTTTGAATTTTCTTTACATTTATATGCCCCCGCAGTAGGCAACAGGGGCATTAAGTGTTACCCTTGACTGTCCTTCCGTTTGTTTGTCTTTTCATCCGTCCCATTTTTGTTTCCGCACTCTAAAGTTTGCCTCATGCAAATTTTATGAAACTCATACACAATGCTAAGAATCACAAGACACAGACAGAGTTGGAATTTGGGGTGTGAGTCATTTACCATTCTAGAGTTATGTCCCTTTTTATCTTGGAAAATTGCAAAGCTTGAGCGTGGGCATTTGTGTCCTCAGACACATTCTTCATTATTTCATGAGAGTTTGGCATCAGTATGCTGCTATTTTTTTCAATAGGCACTTGTATCCCAGTATTTTATATCATACAAAGTAATGTTTCTATTACAGATTTCCAGGGTAGGTCGATATTTCATTTACCCCACATATCTTTCTCATATGTACATTTTTATTAGATGAATTATGTTATTACAGTTGAACTTCATTCGGTTCAATGTTACATTGATGATGTAGCTTCAAATGTACATTGTACTAGCAATCTATAACAGACTTTAGTAGAGTTTTTTCCCATGTAATTACAGTTAATTGGCTTTGAGTGAAGTTCAATATTTAAAACATTATAGTACATGCAAGCTCTTTACTTTTTGCATCAAGTTTTATATTGATTTTGTAGTAAAGATGATTTGTACACATTTAAACATCCCTACATATAGCTTGTATAGTGCAAGGACATAATTATTGGTCTCTTGATATTTTTCAATTTATTTATTTTATGCAAATCCACATTTAAATAAACTTGGGAACACAATAGATGCAAAAATGCCACAAATTTATTTGTGTATGGGGCTATAATTTTTTTCCTGGTTTGCTGAAGTAGCAGAAAATAGACTTCGCCCATTTCAACTGATTTTTATACGACCGCAAAAATTAAAAATTTTTTGGTCGTATATTGGTATGACGTTGGCGTCGTCGTCTGGCGTCGTCCGAAGACACATTGGTTTTCGCACTCTAACTTTAGTTTAAGTGAATGGATCTCCATGAAATTTTACCATAAGGTTCAATACCACGAAAGGAAGGTTGGGATTATTTTGGGGGTTATGGTACCAACAGTTAAGGAATTAGGGGCCAAAAAGGGGCCAAAAATAAGCAAGTGTATGGATCTCTCTGACATTGTACCACAAGGTTCCATATCACAAAGGGAAGGCTGTAATTGATTTTGGGGGTAATTGCCTCAAAATTTTAGGAATTAGGGGCCAAAAAAGGGGCAAAAAACAAGCATTTTTCTAGTTTCAGGACAATAACTTGTGTGTAAGTGTATGGATCTTTCTTAAATTGTACTACAAGGTTCCATATCACAAAGGGAAAGCTGGAATTGAGTTTGGGGGTAATTGCCTGAAACGTTTAGGAATTGGGGGCCAAAAAGGGGCCAAAAATAAGCATTTTTCTAGTTTCAAGACAATAACTTGTGTTCAAGTGTATGGATCTCTCTGAAATTGTACTGCAAGGTACCATACCACAAAGGGAAGGCTGGGATTGAGTTTGGGGGTGATGAATCAGAAGGGGGTTCAAAAAATTTTGGGGGGGGATTTTTATTTTTTTATTTTTTTATTCTATTTTTCCTTTTTTTTTTTTTTAAATTTTCCATTTTAAGTTGGTTATTTCTGATTTATATTTAAAAGCAAATAATAATGATATGGTAGGAGATACACACCAAACAGGATGTGTAAATTTTTATATAATAAGTATTGTGCAATAGCAAGAAATTTTCAATTGCACAGTATTGCACAATAGCAAGAAATCTTCAATTGCACAGTATTGCGCAATAGCAAGAAACTTTCAATTGCACAGTATTGCGCAATAGCAAGAAATATCCAGTAGCACAATATTGTGCAATAGCAAGAAATTGTCAATTGTACAGTATTGCGCAATAGCAAGAAATATTCAATTGCACAGTATTGTGCAAAAGAAGATACTTCTTATAAATTGCTTATTTCTTGATCAATTTCAATGGGGTTTTATTCTTGAATTCTTGGGGTTCTTTAATATGCTGAATATAACCGTGTATTAAGTTTTTTGATTTTGAGCCCCGTTTTTAAATTGGTCCACATTGAGGTCCAAAGGGTCCAAAATTTAACTTTGTTTGATTTCATCAAAAATTGAATTATTGGGGTTCTTTGATATGCCAAATCTAACCATGTATTTAGATTCTTAATTTTTGGTTCCGTTTTCAAATTGGTCTACATTAAGGTCCAAAGGGTCCAAAATTAAACTTAGTTTTATTTTAACAAAAGTTGAATTTTTAGTGTTCTTTGATATGCTGAATCTAAACATGTATTTAGATTTTTGATTATGGGCCCAGTTTTCAAGTTGGTCCAAATCGGGGTCCAAAATTAAACTTTGTTTGATTTCAACAAAAATTGAATATATGGGGTTCTTTGATATGCTGAATCTAACCATGTATTTAGATTTTTGGGCCCCATTATCAACTTTGTCCACATTGAGGTCAAAAGGGTCCAAAATTAAACTTTGTTTGATTTCATCAAAAAATGAATTCTTGGGGTTCTTTGATATGCTGAATCTAACCATGTATTTAGATTTTGGATATTGGACCATAACAGGTGAATGTCCAATTTAAAATTTTTAAGTTCTTAGACCACATTCATTCTGTGTCAGAAACCTATGCTGTGTCAAATATTTAATCACAATCCAAATTCAGAGCTGTATCAAGCTTGAATGTTGTGTCCATACTTGCCCCAACTGTTCAGGGTTCGACCTCTGCGGTCGTATCAAGCTGTGCCCTGCGGAGCATTTTATTATAGTTTGTTGAGATATTGTACTCTTACACCACTGTCTCAGGTTATGGGGAGGTATGAGCACCCGCAAACATGTTTAACCTTGCTACATTCTGTATGTGCCTTGCCCAAGTCAGGAACCTATAATTCAATAGTTTTCATTTGTTGCTGTATACATGTATCATATTTGTTGTACGTTCATTGTTTTTTACATAAATCAGTCTGTTAGTTTTCTTGTTTGAACTGTTTTACATTAATCATTTCGGGGCCTTTTACAGCTGACTGTGGTATGGGTTTTACTCATCGTTGAAGGCCATACAGTGACCTTTTGTTGTTAACTTCTATGTCATTTGGTCTCAGGTGGAGAGTTGTTTCAATGGCAATCATACCACATCTTTTATATTAGGCATGCGGTTTCTGGCATAGCCTATATTGATGTCAACAAATGTTAAACTTTATGCTTTAGTCGGTTAAAAGTGAAACCACTTATTGTAATTTAATAATATTTGGTATGCAGTTGTATTAACATTGGCACATCACATTTCTGTGGAGATTAATTGGGGTTGTCATAGGCCATTTATATATAATTTCGTTGAATAAAATATTTGAGTTATACTATACACATGATACAGGTGGGAATCATTTCTCTGTGTCAACAGTTCATGTTGTGAGGTGTAATTATTTTTTTTAATGTAAACATATTTGCTATACATGTATATTTGTACAAAACATACATGTAATGACTAATCTAAATGATTATCATGTGTGTTTATATAAGGCATGTAAGGAGAAAACAAAAACATCCTAAGACAAAATTATGACCAAAAAACCAAATAAATTGCAGACAATTCTGCATCTTTCAACACATGGTTGGCAGAAATCAAAACTTGAACACCTTCAACATATTTTATGGGGAAAATGTGTTATTACATGAATTATGTATGTGTACCAAAACATCGAGGTGACAAGTACTTATGTCCATGCACTGTATCTTTAATAAGTTTGTAAAATCAGAATTATTTGTATTGAATGCTATATTAATGCAGATAAAACAGTATTTCTAAAGAAATATTATCAAACAGAGTTATTCTATGCCTGCATGTCAATTATACTATCAGTTTCCACTGTCAGCTTTCCCAATGAAATTCAGATATTTTTAGGCACTTGCATCATGGACTTGTCAATTTTTTATGATGACTGATAGACTTTTCCAAGAACTTACAAGTATGAATATGACAAGCAACTGAAATTTACAATGATTTAAAGGTTCAAGGTTTTAACCTTCAGTATGTTAAAATCTTTCTGAATTAAAAAATACAGAGTATAAAAAAATTATTAGATCAGAGTGTTCAGCTGGTGAAAAAATTCATAAGTATTACATTTATTTGATTA